CTACAGTGTAACTCTCGGCATGCTCCGTTGTGGTGGTAAGTACATCTGTCGCACTTTGGGAGATTTCCAGCATATTATTTGATGGGGGTTGTAGTGGTAGATGAAGTGCCAGATGTTGTGACCGCAGGGGTAGTCACGGGCTGTCGTCTCTTGTTAGAACCTTGAGCCGACCTTTTTGTCTTGTTATCCCAGAACTTTTGCTTCTTGTTCTTAGGTTTGTGGTCTGGGGTGTTCTTGTCAACTGACACTCGCTGGTTCCCTTGATTTCCACTGCGATTAGCATAACCGGCACCGTTGGCGTCATTAGCATTGAAATGTGCCATGACGGCTGTCACCGCAGCTGTGACCGCAACCTGAAAAGTAGCGGAGTCTATCTGCAGAAATGGTGCTTCGCCTGTTGGTTGGTTTCTTCCTGGTGAAGAGATGATTCTGTTGCACGGCGAAGAATGATCTCGTGAGTAATTCTGGTCATCACTAGATGCATTCCATTATTTTAAATGTACTAAATAGTTTCACGCTTTTCTGAACTATTCTCAATGTCTCCGACAACATTCCTGAGATGTGCCCATGGTAGTGGATATGAGTAGGTTTTGTACGTGTGATATTTAAACTAAGTCATCCCTGGTCTGAGTGTATTCTGGTTCTGACTTTCATAGGGTTCTGGAAACAATTCATAAAGGGAGTCTATCTAAAATAAACTCTATGAATCAGAAGTGGCTATTCTCGAATAAATTTCTGTGAACTGAATAACTGATACTGGCTGAATGAAAAGAAATAACTCTAACACGTAGTGTGAGTAGTGTAATCACTAGCTCACGAGGTCAAGTAAGGTAATTATTTATTAGTGTGACGCGTAAGACGTTTTAGTTTCTCTGGCTGATCGCTTCTTGGGGATCTCTCATTGTTTCTCCTTGTCTCATCTACTGGCAGCTATAATGGAGTGATTACGCCTATCTGGGTTTGTCGTGCGACAATGGAAGTGTCTAAAGAATCTATGAGATTTAAGGGTAACATTATGGGGCGATCCTTACTGGGTCCTCCTATAATTGCACAATGTATATAAGTTGTATATAATTTAAGATTAAATAGACCTTCGAATAAGTGATCCTACTCCAAGACCACCACCAAACAAGGAACAGGTAGTGAAGCATGGATCACAAATTCTAAGTCTATAAAATCTCAATTATATAAAACCTTGGAAGTATACACTCCGGAATCATAGACCTACCGGAAGGGTCTTTTAAGTTCTCACATAAGTTATTTATAGTGCCTAAAATACTCCTATAGTATTTTATCATAATGAACTTGGTATGTTTTAAACTTATCGTTTGTTTTATAGTATCATAAATACTCCCATAATATTCTAACTTTTTGTTCTGATCTAGAAATCCCTTGAATAGAGTTAGGTAAGTTTTAAGACTGTTGCCACACCACATCACTCCCAAACACATGTTGGTCATATCTCAAATGAATATAGTTGATCAGGCTATATTGATCCCAGATATGATTACATAACTGTTCAGGTTTGACCGCAGTGTTCAACCTTTAAATACTTCTGTTCTGTTCTTCTTGTGATACTTGTTCTAGTATGTATATATGTATAAGCATGTATGTATACTTTTATAAAGTATCGTTATATTCTTAAAATATATTATTATTCAGAGTACTTAGGCCCCATTGTATTTATAGTTGTATATCTTTTATCGGTTGATATACTTAGTTCACTATAAACAATGCTCTGATACCAATCTGTCACACCCCAAACCGGAACGGCGAAAACGTTCGGGGGTGGATGACTTCATGTATAGTATCACAACCATTGCATTACAGTAATCAAAGTAAACACAACCATTACATTAATTAAGTAAAATGTTTACATCAGTTTGATTCATGTTTATAGACATCAAAAGTATGACAAAAGTAAAAGACGAGACTCTATATGCTCTGTCTTCTCAAAACTCCAGGAGGTACCTGTCTACTGATTTCCTGAGAATACAAGCAGTTTTGAAAGAGTATCAGCATAAAGCTGTTGAGTTCATAAGCATGTTTTGAGAAGAAAGTCGGTTAATAATTCAATAAGTGTATTTGTATGCTTCCAAGAAAATCCATTATTTTCTAATAGGTGTATTTTATTACTAAATCTCATTGAATAAGTCGTGCATTGTTTTGATGAATAAGAAACCTCTTTTCCATGAAAAACTCTGATTATTGTCGGTATGTATAATAGGTTCAGAAAAGCTTTGAAAACTTTAATAAGCATAATAGTTCTATTATTTTATAATAAAACTAATTAAAGTTATTATCATTCGTACATTAATCGTATATTCTTAGTACCAAATTTATGAGTTGTTATAACCATACTTGACCATTGAATTGCCTGAACGACGTTCTTCAGGTGTCGGAATCGAAATGACTTTGTCACCCAGGCCTACCGGCCTAACTGTTGCTAACAGTTATGGTGCGGGATTGTCAATCCCGTATAGATCTATACACAAACTCACGTTCTCCCTCCACGAGACTCTGGTTATAATCTCAGGACTTTTGTTAGTACTTAAATAAGTACGCGAAGAATGCTTACTCATAAAATGCTATACTAACGATTACATGTAGAATAAAATGAATCCAATGAATTTAACTTGCTGTCTATATATCTCATAAACTATATATATATGTCTGCTTGCATTGAATCTATGATCTATGCATTGATATGTTAATTGATCCCTAAACTATACCTATTATAGTTTATATGTTCATTCATGTATTGAATTCAAGTTTTACATTGAAAGCTCTGTGATTATGATGAAAACTCCCCTTATGCTCCGCATAGTACAAAAAGGGATAAAATATCTATATATTTTATTAAAGTATAGAAACTATATGATTGTATCAATTGTATCCGTTTTAAGTTCATTGAAATCCTTTTGTATAAGTTTCACAAAATCATTTATGTTTAGCTTGTATCCCCCCCGTGAAAACATTAAAAACAGTAAAGATATAGGGGTATGAACTCACCTTATGTGGGTGATTCAATCGAATATGCGCATAAGGATGAGAAGTTCCACGAATGAATTCCCGAGACACAAACGAGTCCTAAATGATATATAATGGCATATATAGACATGAAATTAGTGTTTTACACAACTAATATGCAAGGAAAACACCATTCGGGACTAGGAAACACTTAGACTAAGTGTTACAATCATATGTGATTCACTAAAAGGGTGTATACGGCCTAACCATGGAGTGTACAGCCATGAGTGTACGGCCATGGAGTGTACGGTCGTACACTCATGGTAAAACATGCACAAGAGGGTGTTTGAACCATGGGGAAGCTTGTGGGTCTATTGCTCATCAAGATTATGAACTAGGTTCTCATTTTGGAGGGCCTTTTGGGGTGTGTACGGCCATGCAAGGGTGTACGGCTGTACACTCCTTTTGTTCCAGCTAAATGGTCGATTCTAAGGTGTTTAACACGAGTTTCTAACGTATACTAAGCATAATGAAAGGATACTTACGTTTTGGAGGCTCAAAGAGGGTTCACGGCCACCAAGAACAAGTGTGTGTTCTTGGTGTTCTTGGTGAAAGATGAAGATCTAGCCAAAGATGAATTTAATGGGATGAAAACATGAATCCTTCACTAGTAAAGTAATGAAGCAACTAATCAAGGTAGGAAACACTTACATCCTTGAAGATCTATGTGAGAAACTTGATGATAATAGAGAGAGAGAGAGAAATCCGAAATCTAGGTTTGGAAGTGTAAAAAGTGTTGGAAAATGACTAAGTGTCATCTTTATAGGTGAGAGTGTACGACCATGAGGGGGTGTACGACCGTACACCCATGTGTACGGCCATACACTCCTCCTGAAGGAGTGTTTGGCCCGAAATGCAACTTTATGACTTTGGTAACACATCCCTTAACCTCAACCTTAATTTTACTAAGCTTAGGACACTCGAACAGACCCCAAACAACGCTGAAAGGTAGCTGAAATGAGTCTGACTTGGATTGAATTGAATGTTGTACAAGATAGGAATTTCAGGTTGTCACACTTGGGGCTGAAAGGTTATGGGTTCCGAAGGACGGTTCATCCCAATTAGAAGCAAAGGATGGCTGGGGTTGGTCGAATGTCGTTGGAAACGTGACCGTAGGCTGGCCGGAAACCCCCGTTTGGGTATACCATGGAACAAAAGTTGTCGTGTGAACTGGAGCATGTGTAAATCGGGATGACATATTTTGAGTTTGAGTTCGTGGGCCCATACCTGATAGTGTAAATGCCGTTTGATTTGATGGTCGGGATTGAGTTACGTGAGGTATTGAGGACATCATCGTTGTTGCTGGTAACTGGAAAGGTGGTGCTCCAAAATGCGAATGGGTAACTAGTGGCGGCCCGGTGGTCGCTGATTCATGAAGGGATGTAGACAGAGTTGGTTGCTGAATGGTTACAGGAGGAAAATATGGTGGGAGAGGTGCCGATTGGTGCATACCTGGTGGTGGGGATGGTATCGTGACGACCATGGAGGTAGTAGCGACGGTGGCTGATGTTGGTGGTTGCTGATTAAGTTTTAGAAGCACCAACATGAGTTGCACATGTGGTTCCTCCGCCTTTGCCTTCATTGCCGCCATCTTCTGGTCGGACTCGGTTCGAATTGCCGCCGGTTCTTTTAGTTCTTTTTCCACCTGGTCCCATCGATCCTTGGGTTCCTCCGGCGGAGATTCCTTGCTATCCGATCTAGTTGTGGGTTTAGAGGCTGTGACATATTAGTATACTAAAATATCATCACATTTTATTAAATGAACGTTAAATGTTACACATGTCACTATTTTTAATTGGGTTGGAAGATTTACAGAAACAAAAAGTAAAAAGATATTTAATTGATGTATGTTTCGCAAAATCTCGTGGTAAAATACTAAAATCTATGCTCGAAAATAAAGTAACAAAACCATGGTCAACGCAATAGAAACTTGTACCTTGGGGAGAAAAGTAGATCAGTTAAAACAATGCGGCTTAGATACAAAGCCGTTGGTAGTCTTCTCTCTTGTTTTTCTGCTGTTCGTCGTCTTAATCGCCTTCCATACCAAAACCCTCACACACCAAACACACAGACTCATATCTACTGCGTGCAGCATAATCTACAAACCTTCTGGGTATTGACTAGCGTTTGATCAACTACGGTTGTTGATCTATTTGAATTATACCTAATTTGGGAATTGGAAAGAGGTCTTTCCTAATCTTACTTTGATTCGATTGTTGATGAGATATGGCGAATTACCATGGGGATTTCAACCAAAAGATTGATTATGTGTTTAAGATCGTACTTATTGGGGACTCAGCGGTGGGGAAATCTCAGTTGTTGGCTCGGTTTTCTAGGAATGAGTTCAGTTTAGATTCGAAGGCGACGATTGGTGTTGAGTTCCAGACGAAGACTATGGTCATCGATCACAAGAACGTCAAGGCTCAGATTTGGGATACTGCTGGTCAAGAAAGGTGCTTCGTCTTTCCCTTCTCAGTCTATCTTTTATCTTGATCAATGATGATTGCTTCGCTTGTTAAATACACTTTTGGTTCTTGAATTTCTCTGATAAACTTCTTTTAAGAAAGTAGTAGACTGGTTCCAAAGAGTGAGATATTGACATCTTTTAACACAAAAATATGTTAGAACTGTTGAACATTTCTTCTCATTAGATCTCCGATGCTTATTATAATTTTTAGAGGAAAGGTCTGGCTATGATAACAATTTATTTCCCAAATGGGGGTCTTTTTGCCTTGATATCAAGAACCTGAACCTAAAAGGGATTCTGTAATAACACGTCTCACATCATACAAATTGGGAACTTGTTTTCAGCAAAAGTTATTAGGCTAGTTTATAACTTTGGGTTTAGGGTGTTACAAATTTAGAATGGGTGCCTAAAACGTTAAACTAATTTGATGATATATGGATGAATCGACATACCATTACCACTGACCCAAAATATATGATGAAATTGGAAATTTGATGTTCAAAATTCTCTAGATAGCTACCTTTACCTGTTAGTTGAGGGAAAACTTATTTATGAACATATCCAATTTGTTTTTCTTATTAATACGTTGTTGTACAATGAATATATATTTTTTATTTCTTATTAGGAAAATACAGAAAATTGCATTATATTTTAGCTGAAGTGAGTAGATTTTTGAGAGTAGAATGTTATATGTTTTGAGTTTCGGAGAGAAAAGAAGAAATGAATGAAAGAAAGTAGATTGGTATTTGTTGCAGATACCGAGCGGTGACAAGCGCGTACTACAGAGGAGCTGTGGGAGCAATGCTGGTATACGACATAACGAAACGTCAATCGTTCGATCACATAGCCAGGTGGCTACAAGAGTTACGTGGCCATGCAGATAACAACATCATCATCATGCTCATTGGAAACAAATCCGATTTGGATTCACAACGTGATGTGTCCATGGAGGATGCTAAAGAGTTTGCTGAAAGAGAAGGTCTCTTTTTCATGGAAACATCTGCCCTTGAGGCCACAAATGTGGAGCCCGCTTTTCTTACAATCCTTACAGAAATTTATCGAACAGTTAGTAAGAAATCTCTTGTTGCAAATGAGGAAGCTGAGGGGAATTCTGCCCTTCTCAAGGGGACAAATATTCTTGTCCCAGGTCAAGAACAGCCTGTGTATGGAGTAAGCAAGTTTGGGTGTTGTACATCTTCATAGAACATGTATTCAGGTCTTTCTTTTCCACAACAGTTAACTTTTTGATGTCAATGCTGCTACTTTTTCGTGTAAAAAATGGCTGACTTTTAAAGAAACTTATCAACCACGTTACAATTCATGTCAAATACTATAATGTAGAAATGTTATGGTATCAAATGTGTTACAAAATCGATATATACTCCAAAATTGGTAATTCTTCGTTTGACCTCAAAGTGTAGTTAACGTGCTTGCTAATTTCTTGATGGTAAATCATATATTACATGACTAGGGAAATTACGAGTTATATTATCTTGTGATATCCAGCTGTTTTGATTTTTGAATTTGCTAACGTGTACAATAAAGATCAATTATCCTTTGCTTAACTATATCTGTTATATAAATGACGATCTGAGTGGCTATTGGCCACATTTTTTTTATCGACTGTAGACTAACTTTGAATTAATAATCCTTACCCTAGTTGTTTAGTAAACATTCTAATTATTTTAAATAAATGATAGCATATATAAATATTACAACGACGTAGCTGCTACCCGTAAAATGTAAACACAAATATTCATTTAAAATTATTTTTAACTATTAACAGCTAATCAGTTAAGATGCATATCTTTTATAATCATATAATTTCAATAAAATATAGGCATAATGACGAAAAAACACTATATTTTGTCATTTTTTTCTAATTTAACCACCAATTTTTATTAAGTTCCGAAAAAACCACCAATTTTTTGTAAAATGTTTCAGCATGGCCACTATTACTTATTAGAATTTATTTTAAGTGCGAAAAAATCACTATATTTTCCAAAAGTTCGGTTTAACCACCAATTTATTGGTGGTTAAACCAAACTTTTAAAAAAATATAGTGCTTTTTTCGTACTTAAAACATGTTCTGATAGGTAACCATGACCACGCTAAAATATTTTACCAAAAATTGGTGTTTTTTTCGAAACTTATTAAAAATCGGTGGTTAAACCAAATTTTTCGAAAAATATTGTTTTTTTCGTCATTTTCCCTAAAATATATCTATAGGTTGGGTGTGAATTTGGTATTTCAATATATATTTATATTTAACATTTATTACTTTTAAATAATTTTAAAAGTAAATTTTAATATAAACTTTATATTAACATTATATTTAAACTTTTAATATTTTTCAATAATTTTAAAACTATCTCTTTTGAAAAAGAATATTATTATAAAAATATTTTTTGAGTATATTTAAGTTTTTCAACTACATATAAAAATTAGGTTTTGAATATTTTTCTAAGTTTATTTGGAATTTTGATTAGTGTCTTGAACTCAATACTATATTTGAATACATAACACTATATGTGAACTAACAAATTAGATGTATGAAATTAAAAATTACAAAGTGGGGTTTCAAATTAACAAATTATTATATTAGAATTATGTTTTTAAATTTAACATTATATCTAAATTAACAAAAAAAATTATATGAAAAAATAAAGAACTAATATTAAACTTAAAAGAATAATTGATTTAATATATTAGTTAAAAAGAAGTTGAAAAGTTGAGAGTTTCAAATGTATATGGTGATAGAAAAAATAGGCTCTTTTATAGTATATAACTAGAGAAGGATCCCCCCTTTGCGGGGGTTGGATTTTGGTTGTAGTATTTTTAATTCAGTGACGTAGGTAGGACAAATAGAAAAGGACATTGCTATACTTTTATATTTAATTCTAAATTTGGAAAGAATTTTCGAAGTATAATATGCCCAAATAAGAAAAGTTTGAAACTGCATTTACATAAATTGGAAGATTTTCATACTACAATGTCACATAATGAGTAAAAATGTAAAAAATACTATGTTGTAACAGAAAAGATGAAAGTAGGATGTTGAAAAAAACAAATAATTGAATGTACATTGCTATCCACGTCAATATGAGGTTGATACATTTATCTTAAGGTTTTCTTCTTGCTTTTTTCTATCTCAAACATCACAGTATATGGTCGCCCACACATTGCATAATTTCCAGCCCCGAAGCTTCCACCAACAACAATAGTAATCTTGGGTACCTATAATGAATAAAAAAAACACAAGGGTAAAATAGGCTACTAAAGTAAATTACATTCCAAAAGAGATTGCATAAAGATTGATATTAAAAAATATATAAGCTAGAGTTCCATTCTGCAAGCTTCCAATGGTTTCAGGACCGTTGGGTAATAGGTTGCTACAGATGGATAAAGTACTTTTATGTTTTGAAGTAATTAGTTGCAACCTTACATAATGGCATATGATAGTCATTAATTTATGCCTCTTCCTCCATTTTCTCTTTCATTTTCTGTTGCCCTAAAAACATAATACTTGAGAAATGAGAACTAGTAGAAAGAAATTTTGGTGAAACTCCGACAAACAATAGTCTTTTTTGTTGTTGTTGAGAAAATATGATGGAATTCAATGAAATATTTGTATCTTAATAAAGTGTAGTGAAAACCTGAAAAATAAATTTATAATGAGTAATTCAATTTTATGTGTGTTGGAGGGACCAACAACACAAGACTTGCATCTAAGTCTAACAAATTGAGGATATTACATGTTTAATTAAACTTTGGTGAACGCATGTGTATATTAAAAATTACGCAGCAATAAATTTTATATATATATATATATATATATATATATATATATATATATATATATATATATATATATATATATATATATATATATATATCAAGGTTGTAAAAATCGCTCGACATTAGTTAGTCGGTGGACTGAGGTTAAGAGATTAATCGGCTAGGCGGAGATTAATCGGGGGATTAATCGGGTACCATTAATTGCTAATTTGTTAGATTTTAAAAAATTAAATATGACTAATATCATATAAAAGTTCTTAAATACCATCAATATCATAACAAAATAGATTAATATGATAAATATAACGCAAATCATACCTCAAATAGTTTCTGCTGAGATATAACTTTTTCAAAGAGTTAAAATTTCATCGGGTTCTACTGTTTCAGTCATTGTGTATGCAGAGATTAATCGCTAGGCGCCCTCTAATCGGTCGAGTAGCGCCAAGCGATTAATCGGAGATTAATCGGGACCTAATGAGATTTTTACAACACTAATATATATATATATATATATATATATATATATATATATATATATATATATATATATATATATATATATGTCATCAATCTACTCCACATCATAATAAAGTAAAATTTCATGAAAAATGTATTAACAGAAAAAGCCTTAAGCAATTAACCACATATTCACCTGGGAATGTAGAGTACAATCGTGGTCAGAAAATAGAATTGGTAAAGCTTGTCTCTATATTACTGTAGGCATAAGGAATCCAAGTTCTTAAATCCTGAAACAAATTTAGAAAAATCAATCATCGTACTTTTTGCACTGGTCAAACCAATAAATATTTACTTCTGCATTTATAAGCTTATGAACCGATAAAAAAAAAGAGTACATCATATCATAAGGAGAAAAAATTAAGAAATGCGAATATCCAAGTTTCAAATTCTTCCAATTTTTTAATTAGTATAAGTCTGTTTAAAAAGTCTAACATAAATTAGATTCTTTTATCATGTCATTCTTAAATAGGTTAGAAATGTATACTGTATGAAATTCTAATCGTGAAATTATATTTTTTGAGTTAATCTTAAATATGTTAGAATGTAGGTATGAATTTAAAGAAAAAATTACTTTTCGTTTTGAATAAAAGTATACTTGAAAAGGTATTTTGTTAGTGGATCATGGAATTATCCATCCTCTTTTCATGCTTAACTGAATGTATTGAAGAAGAACAGAATTTTCATCACTTGATCCTGAGTTTGCAGTTAGCATTGGCTAAAGTAATACATAATAGGTCTTGTGCAGAAAAAAAAGATAACAGATCAACAAACCGATTACAACAATTGAACTTGATTTAAATAAAGCTTTTTGAACAACAATTGAACAGAGGAAACAACATTACAAGAGAAAACTATCTATAATGAAAAATGAGATTTTTGAACAAACTCAGGGACAAACATGTAATTTTCTCTCCAAGAATAAGTTTGGAAAGTGAGTGAAGCACCAAACAGGAAGAGCATTCCCAACAGAGATTTCTTGAAATCCAAGGCCAAGCATACCATCAAACTTTGCTGCAACAAAAGTGATAACAACCTCTTTGGTTGCTTATATGAATGACCTCTATCTCTGTGTACTTAAAAATCAGGACAGTTATTTTTTCCTGCAAATTGAAGGGTATTATTAAGGAAACCTTACCTTAGAGGTAAACATGTCAAATTGAAGGGTATTATTAAGGAAACCTTACCTTAGTGGTAGCTGTGTTGGATGAATCCACCAGAAACTTGATAAACATGTCAAAAAGAATACCCGATTGAATTTGGTTTCATGTAAATCAATAAGAATACATGTTATTAGTACTTCAAAAGTTCCAAAAATCCATGATGAAATCTAATAGCAAGTTGAACATTAAACTTAATCTTTCATTAAAATGAGAATTTTTTAAAGAAACAATATCTTTTTTTCTGCATAATTAAAATGGGGCAAGAAACTTTGACCATAGTCAGAGAAAAATTCATTGTCCATAAGTCTCAAAACCGGATAGATGATTAAGAAGTTGATGCAACAACATTTACATCATGTTGGTACCATGCTCCACCTGACGTATGATGAAGCATCCCATCACACTCTGGAGATTGTACCTGTCAATTAGGATGATGAGAAGATCATCGATCACTGAAAGAAAAGTCAACTTTTTTTTCTTTGTTTCTCACAGACAAAACCACAAACAGTTAGAAGACCGGAAAGAAATCCAAACCATAATCCTAATTTTTCTTGCTCTCTATCTCATAGATTTAGAACTGATTCATTACCCTTATTCCATCAATCTCGAAAGAAATCTAATAAATCAGAAATGAGTGCTCGTGTTGACGGTGGTGGAGGTATCTCTCTCGATCGATCGGTAGTGGTTCTTTTTGACGGTGGCAGAGATATCTTGATCGATCGGTGATGGTCTTGGTATTGACGGCGGTGGAGACTGCGGTGAGGGAACCCTTTGCTGACTTCTCAGCCTCGCTTCTGAAATCGATTACTGATGAAGGATGAGTGGTGAAAGATGAGATGACAGTGATA